AGTTGGATCTCTTTCTAGACTTAAAAATTCTTAGAATGTGTGATAGTTTCCTGATTAATAAACACTAGTTTTATTAAAACTAATTTGTTAAAAAAACAACTTCAGAACATAGTTTAGTAACTTGCTGAAATATGAAATTTAAACAAATGCTGAAAATACGGAATTTAAACAAAAATCTTGAAATAATGTATATGCACATCTGTACCAAGAATTCTGTTCCCCCTCCTCAGGATCAACAATAACAGACACTTTCAAAGGAATGCATGTCTGTTCCCCTCCTCCCCACACACATAGTAAGACTAGCAGACAAAACCACAGACAGCCCATGTTCCTGGTAAGGATAATGAGAACTCTTAATGATGTTAAATGGCAGGGTAGCATGCACAGTTTACAGCTGTCTTCTCATTTCATTTCTTCTGGTTTTGAGGGAAACTCTAAAGTAGTGTTCTAACAAGGTGGTCCATGAGCAACCCACAGAAACGTCTCATGGGAAGACTTTTAATTAAAGGCCTAGAGATTAACTGGAACAATGGTCCCTGCTTGCCCAGAAGGAGGCGTATGTGTATGTACTTTATCCTGAAAGTCGTTCACCCTGAGGTTATAAGTGTACATCTTTAATCTCATACTTAAATTAAAATTTCAAATATCCTATTAGATGCACTGAAAAGGCCGTATAAGACAACAAAACACATGTTTGTTAATACATTCAATGTTGCAAATTAAATTTCTTATTCCTGAATGTATCCTCTTTTATGATAATATGTTTCCACTTTATTTAGGATTCAACCCATTTGCCGAAAATGAATCTAAGTACATTTATTGTCTTCTTGACATTAATTGGGGTTAGTGTTGCTGGTGGTGGTTACTACTATGATTATGACTCACCCCTATCAATTTATGGGCTATCATCACCAAACTGTGCCCCAGAATGTAACTGCCCTGAAAGCTATCCAACTGCCATGTACTGTGATGGATTGAAGTTGAAAAGTGTGCCAATGGTGCCTCCTGGAATCAAGTACCTTTACCTTAGAAATAACCAGATTGATCACATTGATGAAAAGGCCTTTGAGAATGTCACTGATTTGCAGTGGCTCATTCTAGACCACAACCTTCTAGAAAACTCCAAGATAAAAGGGAGAATTTTCTCTAAATTGAAACAACTGAAGAAGTTGCATATCAACTATAACAATCTGACAGAGTCTGTGGGCCCACTTCCCAAATCTCTGGAGGATCTGCAGCTTACTCATAACAAGATCTCAAAGCTCGGCTCCTTTGAGGGACTGGTGAATCTGACCTTCATCCATCTCCAACACAACCAGCTGAAAGAGGATGCTATTTCAGCCGCATTCAAAGGTCTTAAATCACTCGAGTACCTGGACTTGAGCTTCAACCAGATGACCAAACTCCCTTCTGGTCTCCCAGTATCTCTTTTGACTCTCTACCTAGACAACAATAAGATCAGCAACATCCCTGATGAGTATTTCAAGCGTTTTAGTGGGCTGCAGTATCTGCATTTATCTCACAACGAACTGGCTGACGGTGGAGTACCTGGAAATTCTTTTAATGTATCATCCTTGATTGAACTGGATCTCTCCTATAATAAACTTAAAAGCATACCAACTGTCAACGAAAACCTCGAAAACTATTACCTGCAAGTCAATGAACTTGAAAGTAAGTAGCAAGCTGTACCAATGTTTTATAAATATATCTTAAAGTTTTTAAAAGCCCAAGCCTTGCAATGTAAATATTGTATCTGGCTTCATTAAAAAATGAATTAAAATGCCTTTTCACACAAAGAGTGTGAAAAGTGTTTTCACTCAAATACAGAAGAAGAATTCCAGTCAAGCTTCTATCTAGCTCTTCTTTGGAGTTTCCAGACAAGGAAAAATTAAGATCATAGAGTTTAATATCTAATTTCTTTAAATTAATACTCTGGGCTAATTAAGTTTGCTATGCTATCTCTTGATATTTATCTGTTATTATTTATCTCCTTTATGACTTAGATTTGTGTCCTACTTTATTTCTTGGCAAGACCTAGCTGAGGGAGGAACAAACAAGTTCAGAAGAGGCACAGATGCAGAAGCTTTCAAACCTCCCTCCTGCTGATCCCAGAGAAGCCTGTATATTCTCATGGTTTTCCCTGACAGCTTTACTGGGGCCTCGACAAGTTACTCTATAATCATGACCATCATCTACCTCTGTTATCTCTGCTATGGTGTGTGTGGGCTTTACCATGTTCTGAGGAGGACTGTGGGAAAGTTAAATAGGGAAGGAATACGAGCAGTGTTTAGAACATCTAGTTTTAGAAAACAGTATCACAGAGCCCCCTTTCTTATATAGAACCCCATTCTTCATGTGATTTTTACCTGTTTCTCTTTCCTGTCTCTTACTGCCATAGTTTATTTATTTATTAAGGTTTATTTATTCCATGTGTGAGAAAGACAGAGACAGATGTGTAGCCCCCTCAAAAGAGTCTTGATGCTGCAATCCACTTCCATTTCCAGCCAGCCCAGATCATAGGTACGTGCATGCCCACTATATTCAGGGAGGTCTCTCGATATGAACCAACAACCTTCCCATATGGATCTTCATTGTATAGCTTTGCATTTTATCATTGCACCACCACCTGACCCCTGTCATGTGTTTATTCTTCATTTATCTTTGGGGTAGAGTTTGGTCTGACCCACTAGGACTGGTTATGCACTCTTCTGGTCTGCTGGAACATTTTTCAGTGTAAGCAATACAGGTTCAGGTGGAAAACTAAAATTCACCATTCCCTATCTTATTCCTTAGCAGAGTTTGGCAGAAGAGAAAAGCCATAATTAATAGAAAAGTTTTCAAAATGAAAACTCGGGTGGGAAATACTGATTCACACATACAGTAATATCATCTACAAAATAGCCTTTTGAAATTGAACATCTTTATCTGAGGAAAACTGGTTCTCCTGTCATACTGGATAAAAATAATAATATCAGAAAATTTACAGTCTAGCTTATGCATATAATATCTTATAATTTTGCAACAGTTTCATGTAACTCCTAATAATAGGGCTGAGGTATTTTCCAGGAAGTATCTATTTCCCTTCCCTTAGGGAATGAGCTGGGCTGTCCTACCTCACCGTATTACCTGTTCTTCCTTAGTCAGCGCAGTGTGCACACACCACATCACATGCTCCCCCTAATGACATAACTCCGTTCACTATCAGTATACAGAACTACAATGAATTTTATGAACTCCTAGTAGGGTTGGGGTGTTCTCATGAATCAAGGAGCCCATGATCACCAACATGGAATCACCATCTGTCTTTGTTGTTTCAAGAAAGCAGCCATGGTAAGGTTAGGTACTGTTTGTCACACTATATACAGTCAAGCTAGCATAGCTAACTCCCTCTGAGTCCAGTGGAAAATTCAGTACATGGCAATATATCATCCCATATTTTAAATATCTGTGGTTTGGAGGAGGGATACTCTGACAGACAAAAGTGCTAAAGGGAAGAAACGTGTTTGAGGAGTGAAGAAACTTATTAGATTTGCTGGTAGTAGGCACATGGAGAGGGCTACTTCCTTCCCTGAAATAAAATTAAAAAAGAGGAAGTATGCTGATACAAGCACATACATCATACGACTTAAGGATGGATGGAAGAGGGAGTGTGGGAAATAGGAAAGGTGGTCTATGGAAGAAAGGTCATTGGCCACTCGGTGCCAAGCTGTGATGGGAACTGCAGTATACAACACCCAGTGGTCACTTGAAAAGGTAACATAGTAGTTATCTTCCTTCCTTTCTTATCTTTGATATTTGGTCAGGTATTCTTATTTGTCTTTGCATGTATTTCCTCAACTTAGATCATTTTGACAAGTGATAATCATACATTCCAATTGTCCACATTTCCTTAGTATAAACAGAGCTCTTTGATGTTTCTTTAATGTTACAGAATATATATCCCAAAATAATTTTTCCTATTTTAAACTGGCAACTCTAAGCACTAATCTAATCACAGATCTCCCTAAAGTAATTTGGAAAAGAAAAAAATAATTAAGAGGACGTCAGGAATTATTTTAGGACACACTATATACTAGTACTGCATGAAGTGCTTTGTGTACCTTAGTTTAATGTGCATGCAACACAGCAAGAAGATATATCTGACAGGAAGATCAGAGAAGTGTTCCCAGGTCACTTAGCTGGTTCGTGGCAGATGTAGAATTTCAATGTAGGCCCTTGTCCATTCTCCTTTCATTGTCCCATTCTTGCTCACATGTAGAAAGTACCTGGGGGTCCTTTCTCAAAGGTACTTAAGGTTTCCTTAAAATTTCAGGAATCAGATTCAAGAGTCAAGTAAGACAGCAACTTAAGAGGAAAGGAGTATAGTGTGTTTGGGTTTCCACTGAAGCCATTGTTTTAGAAGGAAAGAAATAACAAGATAAGGCACTAGATACATTAATCAGAACTAGACGAGGGCAAGCAGTTTCTGTGAACATGCATAGATATGCACTCCACCTAAAGCCCGAGTTTCTATTAAAAACTAGGCCTTTTTGTGACAATTTTTTGACCACAGAGGAAGAGAGCACATGGGCTTAGATGGTGCACATTCTGTGAGTTGGTTTTTGCCTAGAACTTTTGAATCATTGTCATAGTGTATGGTTGCTGGAAAATTCTTAAATGATAATCAGCTTAAGCTCAATGCAAAATCCCAAAAATGCTTACATTGATGAAGTTGTTTATACAATGGCAGTATCAATTCATACTGCTTCGGGTCAGAGTGTTTTTTAAAAGAGTTCATAACATGACATACTCCCTGTATGCCTTTCTAAAATTAATTTCTAACTATAAATTCCATTCTTTGTAAAGTTTTATCGAATATTCGGATCTACCTTAGTGACTCTTTACTAAGAATAGCCACTTTGGTACCCTGAAAGTTGCTTTTAATCATATCATCGCGAATTCAAAGAAACAAGTTTTAAATGACTTTTCTGAATGGAAGGAAATCTTATATGACAATGTCAGAGACTTAATGAGTTTTTTGAAGTGATTAAAGTTTTCTGTTTTTTTAATTTTCAGAGTTTGAGGTAAAGAGTTTCTGTAAGATCCTGGGACCCTTATCCTACTCCAAGATCAGGCATTTGCGCTTGGATGGCAATCGCATCACCCAAATCAACCTGCCGCCTGATATGTTTGAATGTCTACGTGTCGCAAATGAAATCGCCCTTAATTAATATCTGCTGACCCCAACTATATTGTGATGTATCCTAAAACAATACTTTATGGTTCTGATTTTTTTTTTATGTGTCAGATTTGGTAGTATCCATTTTTATTTGTTGTTTAGTACTTGCATGGATTTTAAAATCTGAGGGAAAATGTTTTGTAAACATTTACTACTTTTTTTTTTTAAGAAAAGATGAAAGGCAGGCCTATTTCATCACAAGAACACACACATACACACATAGATACCAAACTCAATGCTTTATTTGTAGATGTAGTGTTTTCTTTATCTCTATTGTCAAATTATTTGCAAAGCCATTTACTGGTTGCATGGCAGTCAGCCAAGTTTTGTGAGCTCTACATCTTAACTTAATATGCCCCAAAATATGGAAGCCATATCTAAGAGTGCTTACTGTCTTAAACCAAACTATCTTAATACATTCAAATTTGCTTAGTTTGAAAAATAGGTGGTATATTTTGAGTCCAATAATTTTGCCAAATACTAACCAAAACTTACGAAGCCATATGCACGTAAAGTAGTATTTTTAGTATTAAAAATGTACTAAGTGAAATTATTTTCTAGAGTTATTTTTCACTCCACGTCATGTAGTGAAATTATTTTCTAGAGTTATTTTTCACACCAAGTCATGTATATGTTTCTTTTGATTATTTGCAAGTTATGTTTAACAAGCTAATAGCAAAATAAAACATAGCAAATGGCATCATTGTGTTTGACTTCTTGTGAAATTATATCCCGTACATACAAAGTACATAAAAGAATAGATTAGAATCAAAGATATTTCAAGAGCTAGCAGGTGGTGTGGAGGTTAAGGTGGCTGAATCCCTGGTGGCTCACTTCACGGTTTAAGTCCTAGATCCAGTGGCTTGAAAAATAGATTGGGCACATGTGCATTCATGACCATAATCCTAAGAGAAGAATAGAGGAGAAGGGATTGCTGTTTAGCCATCCCCCTAAGGATTGATTTCTCATTTTCCTTCTCTTTCTCTCTGGTGAACACATTTGTAAATAATAATGATAATAATAATAATATAATAAAAAGATACTCAAGCCTTTGATATTTTACTGATATGAACACAGGGTTTTCCACTAAATAGATTGCCTACATCTAGCATTCACTTAATCATATCTTACAACATACACTTAGATCTTACAGTGTGCTAAGATATTTGCCAATATTCCCATTCATGTGTTTTTTACTAACTCCTGTGCAATGGCATGTTAGTAAATAAGAAGCTGCTATAAGAATCTCAGCAATCACTGCTTGATTTTAAGTAAAAATGGTTGGGGCCAGCCCTGTAGTTTAGTGGTTGAGGGAGCTGGCTCTCACATGACTGACTGCAGTTTGAGTCTCAGCCTGGAATCTTAAGAAACATGCTGGTGCATGGGCATGTGTGCCCTAGGTCACAAGAACATGGAGAAATGGAGGAGAAAGGATTCAGGTGCAACCTTGCCTGGTTGAGGATGCTTTTTGCCTTTTTTACTCTCTTTCTCTGGCCTGTGCCCTTTTAAATTGCTTTCTGGCAATTAAAAAATAAATGTTGATAACTGCTGGCATAGATAATATTAAATAAATATAAAATTTCTGAAAATGAGAGTTTAAAAATTAAATTTTGAGGGCCAGCCAGTGGTATGATGGTTAAGGTGACCAGATACCATTTGGTCAACCACACATTTGCAGCTCAGACCCAGCAGTTTGAAAAACACATTGGGGACCAGCAGATGGCATAATGGCTATATTGCTGGACTCCCACATAGTCGACCATGGTTCAAGTCCCAGATCAGGTGGCTTAAACTCACGCCAGGCATGTGTGCATGTGTGTCCAAGATCCCAACAGGAAAATGGAGGAGAAAGGAGGGATTGAGGTGTGGCCATTCCCCCAGGGTGGGGGTGATTTCTCACTTTCTGTCTCTCTGTTTCTGTCTTTCTGGCGAGCACACATGCCCTATAGTGAAAAACCTCTCCCCCCCCCCCAAAAAAAAGAACACATTGAACACATGTGTGTGTACCCCAAATCACAAAAGTAGGGTAAAGTGGTTGAGAGAGAATTGTATGTGACCATCCCCCATGGAAGGGGCATTTTCTCCCTTTCCCTCTCTTTCTCTCTCTGCTGAGCATATGTGCCTTCTGAAAAACTTAAAATGAAAAGAAAATAGAAATGAAAAAGAAAAAAAAGAGAAAAAGCAAGGAAATAGATCAACTTTTGTTTATGCCATTACACCCGGGACACAGGTTTTGAATTTACATCCAGTAATAACAGCTTTCAGCTTTCTACATTATGGATAGTCTCAATTCTTTTCCTTTTCCTTTTTCTTTTTTTTCCTCCTTCTTTCTCTCTTTCTTTCTTTTTTTTTTCTCTTTAAAAAAATTTGTCTAATGGGTGTATGCACTTACTGCAGAAAGCCACACACACACACACACACAGAGAGAGAGAGAGAGAGAAAAAAAAAAGCATCTCCATGGAGGGTGGTCTTGCTGCAACCCCCTGTCCATTTCTCCCTCCTTTCAGGATTTTGGGCATGCATCCATACACACCTGGCATGTTGTTCAAGTCACCAGGCCCAGAACCTGAGCTGCTATATTGGCCATGTAGAATCCAGCCACCTTAACCACCACACCATGGACTAGCCCAGGAGAGTTTGAATTCTATATAATGGGAAATGGTAGAGCATATAATTTATAAAAATAACTTCTAATTTGGCCAAGTTAACAATGAAGACTATGTTAGGAGCCAAATATGTTGTAGTCAAAAATATATTCACTCCATATCATTGCATTTATATTCAAATATGTATCAAAAAAACAAATGAAGCATAATATGATTTAACAGAATAATTTTAGTAAACTTTGCCCTTTAGAAAAAAAAATGGCTTATCTTTTAAGGAGCATCATTAATTAAGGCTGAATTGACTGTCAGATATGTAAGACTATATATACATAAATATATATAATATAGATGTGTATATTATATTAGGTACACTGTATAGTTTTTATTCTAATGTCTTTTCTCTATAAGGTAAGTTTCTGAGCTATGATAGAATTCTATGATTATTTCTTGATATGAACTTAAAATCTACTTTCTCTCAATAAAATGATAATACAGAAAAAAATCAAAATAAATGTCTTTCTCCTTTCTATAACTTTCACCATCCATCCTTGGAAACTTATATTCAAGTAGGTAATATTATTGTGTCATAAGCCCTTTTTTAGGAGGAACGTGATAGGGCCTAATGGTTAAGGGAGCTGGATCTCACGTGATTGATTATGATATGAATCCTAGCCCAGAGGCTTGCAAAACACACCATAAATGCATACATGCATTTCCCAAATCCCAACAGGGCAGATACATAGAGAAGGGATTGTGGCATGACTATGTCTCAGGAGTGGGGCTGCTCTGTTCTTCTCCCTCTCTCTCTCTGTCTCTCTGTCTCTCTCTGATGAGTGTATGTATCCTCTGGCAATACAGAAGAAAGAAGAAGAGGAGGAGTAGGAGGAGGAAGGAGGAGGAGGAGGAGGACAAGGGGAAGAAGAAGAGGAAGAAGAAGGTGCTGGACTTAAATGAGCTTTGTCTTTTTACTATTTAGGAAAAATATCTTAGCTGGTATCTGTCTATATCTTTAAAAAACCTCTTATTTCACGATCCTAAGTTTTATTTATTTATTTATTCTTAAGTATAAAAACAAACCTTCAACTTTTAAAACACTAATTCCCTTTGTAGTTAAGGTTGGTTGACAAGGACTAAGTTAAGCACAACATGACCCATTCTTATAGAAGCTTCTGGGAGAAGATTCTAGTTTGATCTGATTTGGGGACAACTCTTTCTAGAGGGCAGACTCCATTTCTTTAATGAAGAACTAGAAAGGAGAAGCTTCCTGCTGCTCTCTCACTCCCAAGCCATCCCCAGGGAGTTAGGTAAGGAAATCTGGAGACTCACATATCTGCTCTTCTCTCATCTCTAGACTACCAACCTAGTTAGGGTAGTGCTTCCTTAAAGTTTCAAGTATATAAACGTGTTGGGATACATTAAATGCAAATTACCAGACTCTGTTCTACAGATATATAGATCCAGTAAGTTATACAACACAGGATTCCACATTTTAAAAGAATACCCATGTGTGACTTTTACTGGTACTCTGTGACCTATACTTTAAAATACTGAGTTAGTGTGATAGTATGAGCAAGCTATTGAAATATCAGGCAGTTAATGAGCAGAAAGTCTTTTCCTCTTGGGATGTAGACTAGAAAGAAATCTGCTGCTATTCATAACATATTTATGAGAATAAATATTATTTTTTGGTGTTCTAATTTATTTAAATTTTATAACCATGAATTTTTCATTTGGAAATAAGAAATAAAAATGTGGGGTCAGCAGGTGGCATGGTATTTAAGGTAGTAGACTCCCACATGGCCAACAGTGATTTGAGTCCTGATCTAGAGGCTTTCTTTCTCTCTTTGTCTCTCTCTCTCTCGTGAGCTTTTGCTTTCTTATCTTTCTCTGTTTCTCTGGTGAACACACATGTCTTATAGCAAATTAAAAAACTGTAATACTAAATAAAATCAAATAAATAGTTTTTTAAAAAAAGAAATAAAAATATTAATGTCATAGAGTAGCATGAGATGCTCCTTGCCATTAAACTTGTCTGAGAGTGGCTTTGTAATACTTCTTGCTTGTCTATGTTCCTTTTCCTTTCCCAGAATAGCCCCACTGGTACTTTACCAAGAGAGATGACTTAGAATTCACTTTGGTTTTATTTTCAAGAAGGTGCCAAGGAAAAAGAGCCAACAACAGAGCGAGTTTAAAATGGGAGGTTCTCTTAACTGTCTCTCTAACAATGATTTTTATTTAGTCTCCTTCTGAATAAACCCATATATGAATGAATGAAAGAAATGATACATGTAAATTCCTTTTTTCCTAAGCCTCACTCATTGGAGACTTAACCGTTGTTCCTGATTTGAAGGTAAAATGGAAAACTGAAAAAAAAAAATCACTCTGTGTTCTAGACATCTGCATTTAAAATTTAGGGGAAAATAGTGGCTTTATAGTAGAGAGGAATGATAATGTACATAGGTTTTGAAGTTTGAGAGGAATTATCATGCCCTAATAAGTACAAAAAATGCAGATGAATAATAGACCACTAAATGAGCCAGAGGAATGTTAATTTCTTAGTTAAAAGTTTTCCAACTGGTAATAGCTATGTTTTCAGAAATACTGGAGAGTTTAAAAGGTTGGTTTCATGAAAGACTATAAATTTTTTTATCTTTGTGATCCTTTAAGGTTAGGGTTCCAGTTTTTCTATAGCTGTAATTTTATCATAATGATGGCCTTAGATTCTTCTTGGTTGTATTTTGCAAC